ACAGGATTTAGTCACGGACTGGATGATGGAAGTAAGGATGATGCCGGAGTCAAATATAATATCAAGGCAGCGAGATTGAAGGCTGAGTATCATCAGCTTACAGGGAGAAGGGCAGCAGAGGATTATATTTGTAGGAGGGAAGACACAGAGCTCAGTTTTGGAAAAATACATTTTTAGAAAGTGGAAAGAGTGGTATATCAGGGTGTCATAGGCGTATAGGTTGTGCTGGAATCCAAAGGAACTAATACGTTTGCCAAGAAAAGCAAGATAAATAGAAAACAAAAAGTCTAGATACAGAATATTTAGCAACTTCAACGGAGAAAAGTAAAAGGGAGGAGGTTTTACAAGAAAAATATATGCAGAAGGAGTGTTGGGAGAGGTAAGACGAGAGCCAGAAAAGGACAGCGTGCAAGGAATGGAGAAGGAGAGCATGATCAACAGTATCAAAAACAGCTGAGGTCTAGAAGAATCAGTATGGGTTGTGACCACTAAATGTAGTCATTATTAGATGATTATAAGGTGAGAAGGTACACAAATAAATTAAGAAAAACACAAGTGCCACCAGGCCAGAGTGGCTCCACTCAATTCAATTCTTTAATAAATGGAAAGAAATGTATGTGAGAAAGGCTCTGTGTGAGTATACTTCAATAAATCTGACAATAAGTCTGCCCAGCCTTGTGCCAATCTTTATCAAGAAGAGTATGTCCAAACTTTATTTATCAAAAGATCATTACTTGGTTCTGGAAGATGCAAGTGGTGGAAGCTGGCTATTCAGAATTTAATGCCTTCCATCCTAATGAGAGTGTCACTCGTTATCCATCTGCTGGGATTTTACACCAGAACTTTCTGTACATGTGTTCTGACCATGGTTAAATCTGCAAGTTTAAAACCAATTAGTCTATAGATTCCAGGTTAGTATATAAAGCATAACCCATACATGTTTGGGCAGTAACATGTTCTGCGGTTTTAGTTCTTTATTCCAGCATTTGCAATATTATCCAAATATAAGATGTGGTGTAAAAGTTTATCTTTCAAGTACATATAACAACACGCATTTTCTGTAGTTTAAATATTCTACTTTAACCATGTGTGTTCGAGTGAGAAAGAATGTATTTATTTATATAAAATGAGACCAACCTGGAGAGTTTCTGTAAAGGGGTTTAGACTTCTTGTCATCTCTTTTAAATGGTTGCCCTCTCTAATGCTTTTAGAGTGCTTACCAGCTGTAGATGGAGGAAATAATGTCACTAACGTCAAAACATCTATGGCCTTTCCCCAACATTCCAAGTGGTGCTCAAAAATATTTCTATAAGAAAGATTGCTATCTCAAACATTTCTTGTGAATATTAAAGTTTCTCAATAACTGATTAACCAAAAGCAAGATTACAGAGTATAACATTGCATGGTTTATCACTCTTCAAATTGAGATTTAGAATGTTGTATTTTGAGCGGATATCTAAAGGGAGGGATCCAATGAATGTTCACTTGTTCACTTGATTATGCAGACCAGCCCAGTTTTAAAGACAACGATGTATGCGTGGGGGTCATTTTTGGTCTATGACATCAGTTCATCCATCCATCCATTCCTTC